GAGAGAACGACCCTAGATGAGATGAGTGACCTGGGTAAAGAGGGTAGGTGTGTCAGAGACAGTAAGGTTGGCAGGGTTTAGTGCTCTTGTACATATGCTATGAGTCTCAGGTGACTCAATGGCACATAACAACAACATTTTAACAATATTATGTGTATTAACAGAGTTCTGATGGTGTTACAGTACTCAACTGGTATTCTACGGTGTTGGTTTGAACAAATCAGCTTCTTCGTGGGAGAAAGATGTGACAGTTTGTTTCTGTAAAGATGAGTCTTGAAGAATTGCCACAAGTTAAGAAAATCAACTTGACAGCAATGGGGTTAGTTTTTTTCTTTTTGGTTTTGTTTTTATATAGGTAAAGAGATATAGAAATATTATATTTTTACTAAGTTAATGAAAATGCTTATGTTTATGTACAAGTTCATTTTCTTATATTTTCCTAAAGAGAAAAAAAAAAACCCAAATCATCATCATCATCTGCTTCTTCTCATGGCATGTGGATTCAAGTAGAATTTTAGTCCTGTGTCCTCACTGCTGAAAATCTTGTGAGCATTCGTCTGAGGTGCAACTACTGGTCTCATCTGGAGCAAAGAATAGTGAAAAATAAATAAAGAGATCAAGAGATGCATGGAAACAATTCGTCCAAACGACTCGGATCATGTGATCTCAGCCTCCACCTCCCTGAGGCCGTCACTAGATGGCGCTCAGCTACCACTACTGATTGGTCTGAAGAGGCCCACAGGGAAACGTTCTGCATAGAGCTGGAGAGAGACGTGGAACAAGACTGAATATTACCAAAAAAACCCAATTTAAAAAACAAACAAACAAACAAAATTATAAAAAAAGACTCATTGGTCAAACAGACACTGATGAAAAACCTGAACTATATATAGCCTTTAGTCACTTTTCAAGCCTTGAACAGATCCTGTCTTTTAGCTCAATTTCTAGCTAAATGTATCTATAGATCTGTGGTTGTTTAAAAAATGTCAGAACCAACCCATAGCTGACCCTCCGGTGGGTTTTCAGAGGCAGTTAATAGTACGGGAAAAGACTGCCCATCCTTCTCTCACGGAGCATCTGGTAGATGTGAACTTTGTGCTTTTGGGTTTGCAGTATATAAATGTACATGTAGATAGATTTATAAGACCTTTAAACAATAAACCATTCACGTTCAAAACAGTGACTCTGCCAGAGACAAACTTCAGAAGACAGAAAATGATGGGAAAGAAGGGTGAATGGAAATGCAAAACGGAGAGGTAGTGGGATGAGTGATGAGTGCTATTACATGGTGGAGATTGTAATCCATGCCATGACACAAAATGAGCATGAATTGCTGAATGGAAAACCAGTCTGCTCTGTAAAATGTCACTCAAATCATGATAAAAAGTTGGGAAAATGACTCCCTGATTTGACAAAAAATAATTTTATCTGAGTTCAGCTGTTTTATATGCATATATCCTCAGCACTCAAAGCAATTTTGGAGTAAGGTCTGTGTACTCCTTACAAGATCCTGATGAATTTCCTCTTTGTGTTAGGAATCGCTTTCCTCTTCCAAAGACATCATAGTTTCATGTATTCTCAATCAAAGGCTGTGATGACTATTCAATTAACCAAAATTCTGAAAAGAAAGGTTAATAGTGGGTGTAGAGTCAAAATGATGAATTTTATAAGACACAATGTATAGGAATGGTCATATGAAACACAATGTGAATGAAGGAATGTGTGAAACACACACATATGAATGAAACACAATGTATATGAATTTTGTATGAGTACCAATATAAAATGAGATTTTAAAAAAAGTCTTATCAGAAATGCCAAACTGTCTTCCAAAGTGGTTGTACCATTTTATAATCCCACCAACAATGTATGAGAGTTTCTATCTCACCACATCCTCTCCAACATTTATTACTTGCTGCCCCACTAAACTTTGCCACTGCTATTGGGGTGAGATGGTATCTCGTTGTGGTTTTGATTTGTATCTCTCTTACTGCCAGTGATTTTGAACATTTCTTCATGTGTCTGTTGGGCATCTGAATGTCTTCCTCTGAAAATTTTTTCCATGTTTTTGCCCATTTTGTCAGTCTTTTATTTTGTAGAGGCACAGTAGTATTCTTTAAACTTTTGTTATGAGACTCTTGTCAGAGATAATATTGCCAAATGTTTATTTCCCAGTCAGTAGGGGTTCCTCTCCTGCCCTCCCCACGCATTGGGCAAAATTTTTGATGAGCACAGGGATTTAATCTTTGGAAGGTCCCATTCATCAATATTATCCTTTCTAGATTGTGCATTTCTTGTTATATAGCTTGGTTCCAGTTTGTCTCCTATGAACTTTATGGTTTTGGGCTTTACTCCCAGATGTCTGATCCACATTGAGTTGATTTTTGTGTATGGTGTAAATTATGGCTCATAAGGACAAATATTTCATAAGACCATTATTGTAAAAGTAGAAGGATAACTAGTAAAACATGTATGGGGACCTCAGGGGCGAAGGGTGAGGATGGGGAAAGGCAACACCACAGGATTGCACAATTTGGTGGGTGAAGGGAGGAGGTGAAGGGAATAGGAAGGATCTAGTGGGGATATAAAAGACAGGGTAATAATGGGCATGGTCCAATGGTGATTAATTTTATAAAACAAAATGAATGGGACTGTTTGTATGAAACACAATAGGAATGAAGGTTACTGTCAAGCACAATGTATATGGACTTTGTAAGAAAAAAAATATAAAATTCTTAAAAGGTTAAAAACATAATCTTAGCTACCTGGAGAGCAAAAACCAAGTCCAATAGAATGGCCTACAAAACTGAAGTGTATGGGAACTGTTGTTTGTTGTTGTATACTGTTGAGTTAGATAAAAATAGGTGATAAAATTGGACTGGAGGAGATTGTCCGTCTTTCTCCTGGGGAGGGGCTGATATATTCAAAGTGCATGTCTTTGGGTTGGTAGTGGAATTCCTTACCATTAAGCCACCAGGGAACTCTGGTGGCCAAGAGGTAAGGAATTGCACTGCAGTTAGAAAGGCACGCAGTTCAAGGATACAAGCCACTTGGAGGAAGAAAGGTGGGCCATCTCCTCTTGCGGGATTAATATGTGTCTGAAAATTTGCTGGAGGGTCAACTATGAGTAAGATCCTACTCAAAGGTAAATAACAACAGTAAGCCACCAGAACTACTCTGGTGCTAAATGTACTCCTCTCCTTCGAGCTTCTTCTGTGACTGGGAACTAGAAGGACCCAGAGGACCTCATCGGGTGGTGATAATATTTTCTATGTAGTAGCTTGGAAAGAACACACCAAGACTCATTATCAACTTTTATTTTCCTACCATACACCAAATGTACTGCACTGAACACAATTTTGTTGCTTTGATGTAAGAAATATTAATTGTTTGAAGAAACATCATACAAACAAACTACTTCAAATTAAAAAAAGCTTATATCATTGCCTTTTTTGTTGTTTACAAAAAGACCCAGTTTACAGTATCAATTGTTAAAGATAGTTGAAAAGAAAAAAAAATTAGTGCACATTACAAAACACATCAAGTACAAAGAAGACAAATCAATGGAAACATTCTTCACAAAACACTCTGTCAATCAATCCAAAGACAAATAAATTAACCCGAAGGAAAAAAAAATAAAATGATAGCAATAAATACACAGGTTGGTAAGAGATATTTTTTAAAATTAAATACTTAACAAACTTGTTAAAATATTTCACAAATTAAACTTTTGCCTTTGTAATAAGTGAATTTATTTGTATGCATCTATCAAGTACCGCATAGCAAAATGTTTGCCAGTACAGAACTTTTATAGAAAATTTTGTTTGGTGTCTCATTTATATAGACAGCACATATGGTAATTCTTTTTTTTTTTAAATGATTTTTAAATAAACACCATTTCTATCTAAGAACAGACATCTCATTTTCACTTAGCTAAGATTTAAGGGTTCAAATGAACCTCAGTGTAAAGATAAAGCCCCACTTAATGCATAACAAGGACCACCATTTCATGAATGTGGAATTACTGTTGAGTGTTACTTTTAATTTATGCAAGTAAAAGTGATAACTATGAAATATATCAAGCCTTTGAATGCCATCACATTCAATCTAAATATCAATGAGGCTAATAAAAAATAAACACTTTTGTCATAGCACAGGAAATTAAGCTTACACTAAGTTCATGTGTCCATTTACACAGAGGCACATCTGCACATGAGGTGTGTGTGCATACAAAAAAAGGCAGTTTAGCTGGTTGCCTATACCTTTTCCTTAAAAAAAATAAATATAAAAAAACTTTTGAAATAATGCTTAACTACTTACAGTCCCTGAAATAGACATTGCCTTTACTATAGCAAATACTAATCTCTGATCCATTAAGAAATTCAAGACAGCAGGCTCTATTTTCTGTAGATGAGTGCATTCGTGTGATGTACATGAGAGTATACACGTGGATTTGTGCGTGTCTATGCTCGTACACGTACTTTGTAGCACTTGCAGTTCTGTGGAAAGAATTTTTATTAATTTTGAAGTTGTCTTGTTGCTGAGAAGGGGTGTAACCAATATTTCCAACCCTGGAAATAACTACTCAGACTAAAGTAATATTTTCATGTGCAAATGAATTTTCCATTACTTTCCAGTCAACCCAGTAAAATAAATGCTATTTCAGGGGATATGTACAGAATTTTCTGTTTGGATGTGTTTGTTTTGCTAAGCACTGATTGACTTCTCTGTTGTCACTGGTCCCTTGTGCCAATGTACTGCAGGGAGGCCTGACTGGTCACAAGTCTCGTTTCTTCTCGTCTTGGGTAAGTGTGCCAACTAACTGAGATGACTTGAAAACAAACAGACAAATCTGCATCACTAGAAAAGCTTATGTTTCATTAAAACACTTCAAAGAAATAATTCATATTGACAAAATTGCACAACTAAGTTGAATACTTCGCCGATTGCTATTTTTAATTATTGCTAATAAATTCTCAACAGGCTGTTTTCCAAGGTACTGTGCTTTAGTGAGCGTGCGATTCCCACTAGTGGGCGCTATTTGATTTCTTGTTCTTTATTCCTCACATCTCACATCACAGCAAACATTTTCATAAATAGAAGAAAGCCAGTGAAAGGGGAAGAAAAGAACGCAAATATCAAAGAGACCATAGTGCAGTCCTTAGACAAAATTTCCTTCACACTTTTTGTTTCCTTCTTTAAACCCAGTAAGATACGTAGTTTAAATAGCATTTCTATTTAAATTCCATTGGAAAATAAATTAATAAACATACTTGTAAAAATATGGCAGACTTCAAAATGCAGTTAAAAGATAAATACCTCTTTGATTAGAAATAAATAAAGTATAAAAATGTCACATTTATTTTACGTATGCTTTACAAAAAACACAAAAAAGAAGAAATAAAAGAAAAATATATGAAAAATAAATAAGATTTAATATTTGACTGCATTGCTTTTAACCCAAACAATCTATCGTAGTTTTCCTTTCCTGTTTATGTCAGCTGGGGCAAAAATTAGTGCAATGTTGCAACTGTAGATGCAGTAGGTAATCTGCTGGATTTAGCAGTATGGGGAACCCCTCCTAGACCCACGTGGAGTTCTGCTGTTGGTGACTTCTGTTGCCGGCGAGCTGTGATTCTACACATGGATGCCCTTCACTGCCTGTTTGATACTTTCCAGCAGGGCTTTGCATTCTGGGGAATAGTCCCGCTCCAGATTGCTGTACATGTCTGTGAGTGTATTTACATATGCTTCGAAATTCTGCTCACTGATAGGCCCCTGTATGAAGACAAAAACTTATCAATCATCATGGCTCCAGCTGAGGTAACAGGAACCAGGAAAGCAAGTATGGATTCAAATGACTGAGGAAATTTGGGGGAAATAAAGTCAGATGGAAGGTAGGATTCGTCAGGGTAATATTCCGCTCCCCCACCCCCAATTGATAGAATTAGTGTGATTTATGGGAGCTCTGGTGGTGTAGTCCATAAGCATTGCCATTGACACAAAGTCAGCAGAAAATTCAAATCTATCACGGGCTCTGCAGGAGAAAGATGGCTAGTGTAATTGGTAGCCTTCAGAAAACTATCTGAAGGGTCAGCTATGAGTCAGTTCTGACTTGATGGCTGATTGTCACTAAACTATACACGATTTTTTTTGGCCAACTTGGTGCCACATAATGTAGATGCTAAGCCCCTCAGGGTTGTGGTACTTGAGAAGCTGCTTGGACTTAAGTTGCACATGAGCAAACTGTGTAGAAGGTAGATGCAGGTCACACTAAAGAGGGTAGTTGGTTTGTAAGAGCCAGTGCACGCAATAGCACTGGGCAAGACATCAATAATTTAAGATCATAGCTTGACTGTAATATCCTTTTTTATTTCCATGTCTGCCTTTTCTTGTACAGTACCAGATTTACAAAGGTAGGGCCTCTCTACACCTTTTCCTTCTTCTTCTTTTTTTTTTTTTTTGTGTGTGTATTGGCATTTCCTTTGCCAAAGGTGGTGCTTCCCAGGTCTGATACACTAAAGGTGTGCAACCTGAAGATGTGAATAAAAGAACATGCACCGACTCATAGGATACTACTCATCCAATTCTGGTGATGCCTCTATTTTCCCACCATTTTTTTGGGGGGGTGGGAGAGAAAAACCAAACATGGTATGAAAGAAGCACAGGCTTTGGAAGAAGAATTTAAAAATTTATGCTGTAATTGGTATTGTTATTTAGAAGTTCTTTAAATATAAGGGTCATGTTATTGGGCTAAGCTAAATGGTAGTCTTAGTCTGAGTGGTTTTATAATGTTCACAACTTCAGAAAACTTATCCTAAGAATATAAGCACATCCTTAAAGGCACTTAGTAAAGTAGACTTGCTTCAGTTTATTGATATGTGTGAAAAGGAAATGAATTTTCTGTAATTCTAAATGCATGTTATATCTTGAATACAGGCATAGATTTTGGAAATAAGGATTATCTAATTTTGTGCTTTTTAGTCTATGTGAGGAGGCCTAAAGTATATACTTCAGTGTGATCAAAGCATCAATTCTATTTGGAATTAAGTAATTTTTTTTAAAAAAAATTCTTATTAAGTTGGGTGAGTGACAAGGATAGTTACTTTCTAGATTTTGTGAGACATGATATTTTCTAATTGGAACATGGCTTTAATTGAGGAAACTTTAGCCTCCAACTTTTAAATTGTTATTATTACTCAAACTTCAAATAAATCTTCATCTCTAAATGACTGCTATGATATGAAAGATCCTTTGCTTAAACCCAAACCTCAGTGCTGTTGACTCAGCTCTGACTCATGACAATCCTCCATCAAGTTTCTGAGGCTGTCAACTTTAATGGAAGTGACTGATGGCTTTGGGCCACTGACTTTGACCTATGTGACCCACTGCACCACCAGGGTTCACTTCCCTAGGTAATACCTGTGGTAGAAACAATATTTAGCTTAATATAACATTTAAATACACTATGTGCAGATATTCTCTTCCTAGGGAAGTATCATCAGTTAGAAAGAGTCACAGAGACATTATGACCAATGACAATTCCTTGAAGGTAAGTATTCCTTACCAGTTGCAAAGTGACACTGTAAGCATGGCGAGGAGACACCACAGTTTCTGCTGTGGACTCACCATTTGTGGGAGCTGGATGTCAGCAAGGCTAGAAATGAGAGCTTGGCTTAGTCCAGCCAACTCCTTCAGCAAGCTCTCATTGTTCTGTTCGATAAGTTTGTTCTCCTCCTCTATGGTTTTCAGGTTACTCTCCATAGACGTGATCTAGGATGGAAATATCATGGGATTTAAATACGGAAGATTCCTTTCTGAGAGAGAATCATTGGCTGAATCTCCATGCCAAGGAACTCAACATGACAGAGCAACTTCTCTTCACAAAACTGTGACATCTTTCTGTAAGTTGTGGAATCAGATACTCAAATTCGTATCTGCAACCCAGATTTCTCTTGCAATTTATAGATTCAACATTTTCGAAAGACTATGCTGTAGGTGGCAAGAATGATGATACTTTGCCTCACAAACTTTAAAGGCCCTGTTGCTGGGAGAGGATGTTCCTTGGAGAGAAGACATGATGCTGGGAAGGGTGGAGAGTCAGCAAAGGACAGATAGACCTTCAACCATGTGGATTGATATAGTGACTGCTGCAATGGTCTCTTGGGTGTCAGGAAAGGTGAGGATGGCACAGGCTAGAACAGGGTTCAGATCTTTTGTTCATAGTTGCTATGAGTTGTACTCGACTCAATGGCACCTAACAACAACAACAACAACAACAACAACACCATTCTGTAGGTGTATGTAACTCAGTATGTTCAGAAACAAACCTCTGTCATTCTTTCCAGACCTGCTCTAGCACTCTTCTCAATAATTGAATCACTCCAACCTCAAAGATTTCTTGTAACCCTCTTTACCTCAGGTCTTAAATGTACTGGGCTTTATATTACAAATACCAATGTGGTGATCTCATCATCAGCTCAGTGTGGTGATCCTGGACATTCTTCAATGGGTATCCTGATTGGCCTCTCCTTCCTGTCTCCTACACTGACACCACAATGATCTCCTAGCCTGCAAGCTCAAAACCTTTAAGCAGTTCTGCTTTTTATTTTTTATTCATAATTAATACCAAGAGCCCTTCAGATGACATAGTAAGCTACTGTGAGCGGAACCTCCTTCTTTGATCCTTGACCATTGCATCTGGAGTTAGGCCACCGTCCTTGCTTTTCCTATTTCTGGCACACTCTTCTTTTTCACACCTGACTATTTCATCAACTCTGTAAGCCTCCCATTGGCATGTCTACTACTAACTGAGGCCCCTTTAGACCATACTATTTATTCCTAAAATCTGACTGCTTTTTAATCCTCCATTTCTCCTTACCAACCCTCAACATTTTCTTTATCCATAGGACTCAGAACTGTTTCACACAAACTCCCACAATTCTTGTACACCTTGGCTCCACCACGGTAGAGGCCTTTGCTCCTTATGATTTGAAGGCATTCTTGATTTTTCTAAGTCAATGCAATAGGCTGTCTCTATGGACCTGATCATTATTCCATTACTTCAGATGAGCTAAAGTGTTTCTGTAAAGACTTAAATGAATGTAGTGGGCACTAGGAAAATAGTTTGAATTTTTCTGGGAAAAGAATCAATTCAAGGGCACCTAAATTAAGATATGTTTCTATTGAATACTTACATATATATATATAAAAGTATTATAGAAATATTTTTTCTGTTTCCTTGGATTTTAATAAGACCAAATATTCTCTTATTGTTATTGTTCAGAATTACTATTTAGTCTATTGAATACTTTAAGTTCAGGGTAATCAGGTTTGTTGTTGTTATGAGTTATGACTCATAGCAACCTTATGAACTGCAGAGCTGATTTCTGTCCCATGCTGTGCCATTCTAATCATCTCTGATAACCTTGAGCCCATGACTGCAGTTACTGTGTCAACCCATCTTGTCTAGAGTTTTCTTTTCTTTTGCTGACCCTCTACCTTTCCAAGCATGATGCCCCTCTACAAAGAATAGCCTCTTCTAGAAACATACTCAAAGTAGGAGAGGCAAAGCTTTGTCATCCTTGCCTCCAAGGAGCTTTCTGGCTACACTTTCTCCATGACATATCTGTTTATTTTTTTGGCAATCCAGGGGATATTCAGTACTCTTCTTCAACATCACAGCTCAAAGGCATAAATTTTTCTGTTATCCTTCAGTGTCCAACTTTTAGATGCATAAGAAGTGACTGAAAAAAAATCATGGCCTGAATCAGGTGCACTTTAATCTTCAAACTAACATCATTACTCTTCAATAATTTGAAGAGGTCCCTAACAGCACACTCGTCCAATGCAATATGTCTCCTGACTTCCTGACCAAAGATGTTGACAGTGGATCCAAGAAAGAGGAAATCACTGACAATGTCAATCTTTTCACCATCCATCATGATGTTGGTGATTGGTCAAATGGTCAAGATTTTTGTCTTCTTGATATTGTGATGTAATTCATATAGAAATCTATTTTGTTTGATCTTCTGCAGCAAGTGCTTCAAGTTCCCCTCACTTTCAACAAGAAAGGTGCTGTCATCTGGATAAATGAGGTTATTGATCTTCTAATTGATTGTGTTTTCATCATCTTGATCCCTTATTTTTCTTCATAGAGTTTAACTTCTTTAATGATTTGCTTAGTGTACAGATTGAATAGGTATGGAAAAAGGATACTTTATTTGCTCCAAAAGTAGCCAAGGCAAAATAATGAGTAAGTTTGCTTGCAGCCAACAAAGTGGTAGATGATCTAAGGCAACCATCTTCTTTTAAAAAAATAACTTTATAATTAGAAATGCTTGGCATATTCACCATAAGATGCCACTATATTTTTAACCATAGGCTTAAAAGTTCGCTATTTCCTTTCCATCAAAGATTATAACTACTGCCTTTTTGCTCATTCGACTCCACCATGGTGGTCGGCAAGAACAAGTGCCTTACAAAAGGTGGCAAAAAAGGAGCCAAGAAGAAAGTGGTTGATCCATTTTCTAAGAAAGATTGGTATGATGTAAAGGCATCAGCAATGTTCAATACAAGAAAAATTGGGAAGACATTAGTCACAAAGACTCAAGGAATCAAAATTGCATCTGATGGACTTAAGGGTCGTGGTTTTGAAGTGAGTCTTGCTGATTTGCAAAATGATGAAGTTGCATTTAGAAAATTCAAGCTGATTACTGAAGATTTTCAAGGCAAAAACTGCCTTGGCATGGATCTTACCTGGGACAAATTGTTCTCCATGGTAAAAAATGGCAAACCATGAATGAAACACATATTGATGTCAAAACTACCAGTGGTTAGTTACTTCGTCTATTTTGTGTTGATTTTTAAAAAACACGCAAAAATCAGATTTGGAAGGCTGCTTATGCTCAGCATCAACAGGTCCACCAAATCTGAAAGAAAATGATATAAATCATGACCCAAGAGGTGCAGTCAAATGACTTGAAAGAGGTAGTCAATAAATTGATTCCGGACAGCATTGGGAAAGACATAGAAAAGGTTTGCCAGTCTATTTGTCCTCTCTATGATGTGTTTGTTAGGAAAGTAAAAATGCTCAAGAAGCTCAAGTTTTAATTGGGCAAACTCATGGGGCTATATGGTGAAGGTGGTAGCTCTGGAAAAGCTACTGGAGATGAGGCAGGTGCTAAAGTTGAACAAGCTTATGGGTATGAGCCATCAGTTCAATAATCTGTCTAAAATTCAGACTTTAGTAATTACAAATAAAAATTATTATTTGTGGAAAAAGATTATAATTACCATAAACATAATGAATTATAATTTTTATACCTGGGTTTGCAGTTTCATCATATCTGCTTCAATTTTAAGGTTGGATTCATTCAATTCCTTTATTTCTTCATCCAGATGCCTGATTTCTTCATCACTTTCTATACCTACAAAGAGTAAGGCTTTTAGTCTGTGCTTGAAAACTGTTGGAAATATCCCCTGTATCTTACACATTTGTAAAAATAGGTTTTAGGGTTTAATTCCATAATAAGAGAGAAGAGTGAGAATAGAAAAGTACCATCTAAAGTAGGTAGCTCCCTTCCACATATCCTGGGATAAAGATTTTTCAGTTAAATCTCTCTCTCCTACCCTCTGCAGATGGCTCTATTACACCTGTATCAAGGATGAAAACATGGAGTCTTAGACTAAACGATGGCACACTGATCATAGCACACCCTCAGTAACTTTCCTGATTTAAAGTGACAGAGACGGGAAGAAACTCTGAAGCCCCTGAGTGTGGACACAGTAAGCTCTCTGTATACAATATTGTAAGACTAGCTATGACATAAATTACACTCAGTAATCAGGCAGTCTGTATAATTGAGTTGGACAATACCAGTGAGTTCAACTGGTGAGAGCTGAAAGAGTATCAGGAACAGAGCTCAAAGATGAACAATAGGACTCTCTACTTGGACTTGGACAAGTAGTAAATGAAATCCAGGAAAAAAAACACATTGTTTTGAACTTACAACTCTTGATTTCTTTCTGCCTCAGCTTTCTTTATAGAGAGAAATAATAGCTTCCTGGTGAGAATTCATACAACAAAATGCAAAATTGTTGAACACGAAGGATATGTTCCTATTATTTTATAGAAAGGATATGAGTCCATATTTAAAGATTAAAATAGCCTGAGAAATGTAGTTTATATTAAGGACACTAGAGTCAAAGTTTAAAGTAATCTCACAGCAGAATGACAACTCTAAACCAAAATGATGGTCATTAACAGGGGTAAATGTAAACATTTGCATTTGGATAAGATCAGATAAGATCATAAGATTGAGTTCACATGACAAGATGGAATTGAAAATTACATTGTGCAACAAATTAAAATGTGCAACAATGTATGAATGAAAATTTAACTTTTCTGTAGGCTTTTGTTTAAATTACAATTAAAAGAAAAAACATGTGCAACAAATTAAAATGTGCAACAATGTATGAATGAAAATTTAACTTTTCTGTAGGCTTTTGTTTAAATTACAATAAAAAGAAAAAACATTTAAAAAATAAAATAAAATGTCATAAAAATGGTGAACCAAACTCATCTGCCTTTTGATTGACAGTGAAAACCCTTACACCAGGCCACTAGACTTCAGATTAGCTCACAAAAAAAAATATTTGCACAAGTATTATTCTCCTCTAAAAATAATTCATATGCAGCTAAATTTGTAACACTTCTTAGCAAAGATAAAATAATAAATGGAGAATGAAGATAGATTAATAGAAACAGAACAACTAGTGCACTATTCAGAGTCTCTTCTGAAATTCATTTTGGTCTTTTCCTCTGAGGACATTAATTTTTCTTCAATACCAAAGCTTAAATGTATCAATTCTTCTTTTATCATTCTTACTTATAGTCAAACTTTCAGATATATAGCAAATAATTGAAAAGGACATGCTTGAATCAAGTGAGCCTTAGTTGTTACACTGACAACATTACTTAGAGAGCTCCTCGGCAGCAGTGTTTTACAATGCAATGTGCCTTATCATTTCTTGACTGTTGCTAATAAGAATGCTGGTTGCGGATCCAAACAAAATTAAATCACTGACAATTTTAATCTTTTCTCCATCTATCATGATGTTGCCTATTGCCACACTGGTGCAGATTTTGTCTTCTCAATGTTGAGCTGTAATCCATATTGAAAGATATAATTTTTTTTCAATTTAGGTTGTTTATTTTTCATTTCAATGAACATCTACAGAGATTTTGGAATTCCAT